TTGAAGTGGCCAGAACATAAGTTCCATCGGGTCACCTACAATTTGCCTGCAAAGTTTGTTCAGCGTTTTGCAATCACCTATGGTGGGGGAAGCAGCGGCAGAAGCACAACGTGAAAACTGATAACATGACTGAAATTGAGTTCTTGATTGTAACCAGTTGATACTACCTAAGAGTGATCTATAGGCAGTGTGGAGATCCTTGTCACATTTGTCTTCATCCTTCAAACCTTTTGGTATGACAACCTCAGTAAGTTCACTGACACAAAGTGATTGTTCAACAGTGATGTGTGATTTCTTCTTGGTCTTTTCATCAATGATCCATTTCACACGTTGACCAGTGAACATCAAATCATTCACATCTTCATGACCAATCTTGAATTGTGACTTGACAACTTTCTTGAACTTCTCCAGAAACTCTGGAGTTCCAGTAATGAACAAGTCGTCAACATGCAAACAACACATGCCAATAGGTTTTCTTCCCTTGGCATTACTGCCATTCACAGGGTCCATGAAGTGTTCCAAGAGTTGTTCAACAATCTCAGGTGTCAACTGTGGTGTCGTGGCAAGATAAGTACGCTCTGAAGGTAAGAAGACTGAAACAAGTACTTCAGCTTCTTCTTCCAAACTTATGGAAACATTGTCCTTGTTCATGTCATGATTCATCTCAAGCAACCACCAAACTCCTTTCCTCTTCACAATAGAAGTTCTCAAGTGAAACTTCTTTCGATCATAATGTGAATCAGGAGTTCTCAAAGCTTTTGCACGATAGGCAACTTGAGCATGACCATTTTCAAAAGGATACCAACCAGACTTGTGTTCAACAGATTCCAAAAACTTCAACAAAGTTTCATCAACAACAGGAGTCCAAGCACAATCTTCAACCTTCTTCTCCTTGAACTCTTTCCTCTGTTTCCACGTTTGGGTTTGTTGATAGCAAGCTGAAAACAATCTTTCTTCAACCAGAAGAGACTTATGAACTTCCTCAGCAATGTCGGAGGATTCATCACGCGTTTCCTCACCGTCTTGTGAGCTTACGTAGTATGTCACAGGTGCTGGTTCTGTTGCCTCAGAGTCAGCAAAGCTAACCTGTTTTGGCTCCTTAAAAGCACCATCATAGCATACATATGTACACCTGTCAGCTCTTGTTGGTTGAATACCAAGCGAAATCAGAAATTTGTCAAGGCGGTTCCACCATCTACGTGGTGCGTCCGCAAGTCCATAGACGGAACGAGTGCACAAACCAACCAAGTAAGGAGGCAAACCAATGTCAGTAGGCAACTGAACATGGATAACGCGGCGGTCTAAGTCGTATGTTTCCCCCTGAAGGAAGGCAGTTTTCAAGTCTAAATGGAGTAAATCCCAGTACATCGAGGCTGCATGCTGAGATGCCACACGAAAACCATACCTGGTAGCAGTAGGACTGTCAGTCTGTAAGTCATACTTTTGAGCATCTTGAAAGCCTCTACATACCCATCTAGCCTTGAACTTCTTGAACTGTCCATCCTTATCAACCTTGATGGTAAGCACCCATCTGCCAGTGACATAGTTATCAATCTTATGACGTCTCTTGTCTCTGAAAGTCATGGCAGTGAAATCCAGAAAACTTCTGAATTCTTCAAGCTTGGCTTGTTTGATCTCCTTAGCATACTTTCTCAAGACTTCTTGAGTGATAACTGATTCTGCCTTTGGCTGCTTCTTTCCATTCTTGGCAAGATACTGTTCAAACTGTTTGAATCCAGTAACATCGTATGAACCAAACTCAGGTGCAGCTTGGACCTTTGGTCCTAAAGGAACGAAAACAGTACCATCAACATTGACAAAATGAGAGTGGTCTGATGTGTAAGGTTCAGTGTCCACATCTTCTTCCTGAAGCTGAGCAATGTCATCCTCAGTCAAAACAGGAGTGTCGTCTGTTTCATATGGTTCTGTTTCATCATCATCATGTTGTGATGATACCAATTCTGGTGTTCCTTGTGAAGACTGCTGTTGCGCTGGCTGCGCAAAGTCACCTGGCGTAAACGATGTTGGTGTAGTAGTAGGCAATGGAATTGTATTATCATGTGAACTTGAGGCAGTAGGATCATGTGAGGGTCCTTCATCTTCATCTTCATGAGGTTTCTGAGTAGGAACTGAAATTGGCTGAACATGACCTGGTAATTGAACCTTTGGCCTCTTGATAATCACCTTTGCCTTTGCCTTTGGTAAAGCATCAGTAGAATCAGTTGAGATCTGTCTCTGTTTCCTTTGAACTCTGATAGGCTCTGACGTCGGATCAGGTCCTGGTGGAGAATCGTCATCTTGTCCAGGATCAGCAATCTCTTCGATTGGAATGTCAGGATTGGAAAACGGAGTTGATGGTGAACTTGGTTGATGTGTTTCCCCCGAGTCCTGTATTCCTGGCATATCCAAATCATCATCAGGTGGTGGTCCATAATCATCTGGAATGATGTACTCTTGATCATCATCATCACCTGGATCAGGTCCAGTATTGTAATCAGGTTGATTATCATCATCCAGAGGATCATCTGGTTCATCACCACTCAACATCTCATCATCATTTGGTGGAACATCACCATGCTGATCTGGATGAATGGGATCGTCACCATTTGGTGGTGTGCTACTTGAACTAGGAGGATCTTCAACTCTCCTTTTGATAGCACCAGTCGTTTCTCGTGAAAAGACGATCATACTCCATTCATGGATTTTGAACTGTTCATGATGTGGATACAACTGTGACACAAACATGAAGTAAACATGATCATAGTCACCAGGTTTCCAAATGAGTAAGACAGCATCTTCAGGATGTTGAAACAAAGGATTCACTCTTCCATAAGTTCCTCTGAACACACTGCAATCTTCAAAGTACATTTGAGGCAATGTCTTCTTTCTGACATCTTGAAGTCCAGGAATCAGTTCAATGATTCTGGGGTCAGTTGATTCTCTGACACTAGCCTCTGTACTCCTTGGCAACTGATCAATCTTCCTCAATGTTTGAACAAGTAACTGAGTGGTAAACCTCTGTGGAAGGATGTGCTTCAACGGCACTGGAATAGAGGTCTCAACATGATGCAAGTCTTGCAACAAACATGAGCACTCAGGTTCACGGTCCAAAAACATTGAAGTGCCACACAATGCTCCATCATCAAAATGTTCCAACAGATCTTCAAACAAGAAACATTGTCTCATGTTCTGCAAAGGTACAAGTTGTGTGAACTGCGCAATGAATGAACACAAGTAAGATGGTAAGACCTTCCATTGTGGATCATTCCAAAGCTTCCCTTCTCTATTGAAGGCATGCTGTGGTTCCAACATGTCAAAGTCTTCATCATGATTGTAATACACACGCAAGTTCTTGATTGAAGGATCACAACGACAGTAATTTGTCATGTCAAGGTTGAAACAACCAATGTGATACTTAATTCTGTCCTTCTGAAATTTCTTCCAAGCCAAAAACTGAGCAAATCCTGAATCAGGTGGTGCAATCACCAAGAAACCTTTTCCTCGGTCAGCTTGCCATTTCATCACATCAAGGCAAAACTTGAATACCGAGTATTTCCAGGAATTTGGTGAAGGATTTGTGATCAACACGTATTCAGGATCAAGCTTCTCAAGTTGTTTCCAAACTTGGTTTTGTTTCTTTTTGCTGTTGAAACTCCAACCATGCTTGTGGTCAATGGGTTCACCAACCTTCATGTTCAATCGTGCCATGTGCCAACTAAGACCAGTGTTGCTACTGAAAAGTTCCACAACATCACACTTGCCAGTTTGACAAAACCAGTGAGCTTGTTCACCTAAGTAGGCTTCAGCATATTCAGCGATATCTGGCTCATAGTCATCTTCATCTTCAACTGCAAGTGGAACAGGTTCTGATGTGTCAAGTCCAGGAACAGCAACATCATGCCATTCATCATGGTCACGTCTCACCTTCGATTGATTAACACGCATGACTGCGTTGTCAACATGAACATTGACCATAGCACCTTCTTGAGAGATAACAGTACCTCTGATCCATCTTTCCTTCTTCCATGCCTTTGAAGCAATAGCATTAGCATTGACAGGGGAACTCCAAACGAAAACCTTGTCACCTGGTTTGTAAGGTCCATCTGATGGCATTGTTCGTTTGGCCATGTCATGTCTGAGGTCAGCAGCTTGTCTGGCTTCCTGATGTGCCCTCAGTGCTAACCTTTGCAACTCGAGTTGTGTTTTGTCTTCAGGTAAAGGATCAACACTAAGTTGAGCAGGATCAGAAGTCTCAATATCCAGAAGATCTGGTGGTCTTCTACCAGTGGCAATTTCCAAAGGAGAATAACCACTAACAGTGAGTTGAGTGTTTCTGGCCCAAACAGTACGCTTCACAGCTTCTCTGATGGTGATTCCTTTGAACCTATCATCTTCAAGGTTCTTGGACATGATTTGCCATTGTCGTTTGAAAAGTCTGACAGCTGATTCAGCTCTGTTAGGCCATGGGGTTCTTGAACCACAGGGACATTCTTTGATACCATGAGTTCGGTAATAAGTCAGAAAGTCTTCTTGAAAGAAAGCTTCATCACCCACGATGGCTTTAGGCATACAATTGTGTTCATCACTCCACAACCTTAGAGCCTGAATGGTCTCCTTGTTGTTCAGTGAGTTTTGTGCCGTAGCCCAAAGTAAGTTGGTTGCACCATCAAGAACAAGCAACACCATGTACTTGTTCTTCCTCAACTGAATTTCAGCATGATCAACAAAGATAACATCTCCAAAGTTGGTGGATCGTATGCCTGAAATTCTGGCTCGCGGCGGTGGTGCAATTGAAGTACTACACACACGACACTTGTTGTACATCTCCTCATACTTCTGATAAACAGAGTCAGGAAGTCCTAACATGGAAGTCCTTCGTCTGAATTGAGTAGGAGACATGTGATAGTGTTTAATGTGAAGCTTGTAAAGTTCCACACTATCCTCCAGTTTCCTGAGCATCTTTCTGTATGCTGGTGTCATGGCTTGCACTTCACTACCAGGCAGTGGAATCGAAACTCGCCTAGGCTCAAGAGCATCACTACCTAGTTTCTCAACTTGACTTTCTGAATCTTGCTTACCACGGTTGCGCGCAGGTGCAGAATGTTTTGGTTCAATGACTTGAGGTTCATCTGAATCAATCTTGTCCAAACCTAATTCCCTAGCTACCTTGTCAAGCTCATCTTCTTCATCAAGCTTGGGATAGGAGACAACAACCTTCTTTCTTGATGAACCTGATTGAGAGTCATCGACAACTTGAGGTTTCTGCTTACCTACGTGTCTTTTGGCTGCAGGTGGACCTACCTCAATCTTTTTCGAGCCTGGTCCATTTGAAATCGGTTTGCCTTCCTCCTTCTTTAAGGAGCTTGGCTTCTTCTTCTGTACACCTGATGGCACTGAAGAGGCTGACTCAGGGTGAAAAAGATCATCAATGTTTCCACGAAAGGGCTTTGCACGATCAATGTCACTTCTGACAATGTCATCTGGGATCACGTAGTCCTCCTTGATCTTGTAGATGGTCTTGCCCTTCCAGAACTCTTCACTCTGTTCAGAAAACCTCTTCTTCTCAGTGCGCCAGTTGTCCTTGTGAAGAACCTTCTTCTTGCTCTTCTGGAATTCAATGTGGGTTTCTCTCTCATCAAGAAGTTGATCGTTTGGAATTGGAGTTTTCTCTGATCGAGTCATCTCATGCAAGTTCATTCTCTTGTCCTTGTGGTGCCTGATGAGTTCACGACGTAGTGGATCAACCTGCCAGTAGTCACCAGTCACCAAAGCTTCTCCTTCATGATCATCTTGTTTGACAGCAATCTGACTGTACTCAAAGTGATCGTGTTGTGAATAGAAACTTTTGACTTGTGGAGTCTTGAAATGAACTTGGCTCATGTACCATGCTACATCTTGTAGGTCGAGAATGAGATGAGTACTGATGGCTGTCCTCAAAACCATTTTTCTCATGCCAATACGTGCACAGGACAAATAAGCCTTCTCTGGAGTAAGTTCAAATTGAAATCCAAGGTTTCTCATCTGTGGAAGTGACATCAACAATGGGACATCACCTTCTTCGACAATGTCGAATTCTGTAAACTGAGTGTTCCATCCATGATCATACATGAATATCACGAGCTTCTCAGTACATTTTGATTGTTGTGAGTTTGCAAAGAAGAATCTTGAACTTGTTGGCTGAATTTCATACCAGAGTCCACTGTTGGGATGTGAGTCAACATATCTGCAAAATGCTTCAACTGCTCGTCGAGAGCCCATAGCTCTTGTGCATCCAAGATCCAGAATACACACAGTTGGTGGTGCAGAATTCTCTGTGTGAAAAGCTAGTCCATTCTCACATGCCAGATCAGTTTGTACAGTATGAAATGAAAAAGCACTCTGCTGTGATGGTTCCTCTATCTCTGTAGAGCATCCATATGAAAACAATGATGTGCCTTCTGCCAATGGCTTCCATGAAGCCTCACCTTCTTGAAGACCAACTTGCCTGGGCACTACAGCTGGACGTTGTTGTACACCTTGTCGTAGTGCACCAACTTCTCCAACCAGAACAGGGAATCTCTTCATTTCTCTCCTGTTTTGATGTGCTCTTGCATCTCGTTGGTTCTGTCCTCCACGACGAGTGCGTCGTTGTTCATCTTGTGCTGAATACGTGGATGTCAAAACATCAACACGAGCTGGCTCTGTCTCTGCAACATCAACACGTGCTGGTTCAGTTGTTCCAAATGAAAAGAAACCATGACCAGAACTTGAAGCTGCAGAAGAATAATGAGCTTGTTGAGTTTGTTGATTCTGTATGGCAGGAGCTGATGTGGTCTGAGGTTGAACATAGTTCGACTTGCCTTTTCCATCTCCTGGCTTTCCTCCTTTTCCATCATCATCCTTGCCTTTCTTGCCTTTCTTTCCTTTTCCTTTTCCTTTTCCTTTCCTCTGGAAATATCCATACTCATCCATGTAGTATGAATCATCATAGGCCCAATAGCCTTCATTCCAGGTTTGATCATCGGCCCAATAGCCGTCATAGTTTTCATTCCATTCATCATCTTGCCATTCATCTTCATAACCTTCTTCACTCACCATGTGAGAGCGGCCTTTCTTTCTTCCTTTTCCTCGGCCTTTTCCTTTTCTTGATCTGAAGAATCTTCGTCCTCCTCTGCCTTTTCCTTTTCCTTTTCTCTTTCCTTTACCTTTGCCTCGTCTGATGTATTTGCCTTGGAACCTTCTCTGATACCATGTGAAGTTGGCGTCATCATAAACCCAGAAAACATCTTCTAAAGCATCCAGGAATCCTTCTGCGCCGTCTTCTTCATCTTCGGCCCAATAGCCGTCGGTTCCTTCTAATTCACCTTCATCCAGTACGAGGAAAGATCTTCTCTGTGCCATGCCAGAGGGTTGCATCAATGGATTGTCAACTGCTGTTTTGGTAGTGCAAAACATTTCCAAAAACAGGTCACGTAGTTCTTGAATGCTGTATCGATCGAGGGTTCGTCCACGATGTGTCATGATACTTGTGAGTGTGTTTCTCTGATCTTGACTCAGGTCAGCTAGACTTACAAAAATCAATGCTAGCAAATTTTCACCCAGTGGGAATGCTTGTCGCTGTGCTTCTCTACGATTTTCCTGAAATTGTCTGAATGCCGCTAGTGCCAGTTCATCTGTCCAAGGAACAGCTACATGGGGTGTTCCTGAGGCTGCTGCTACTTCAGCTCTCTCTTGTTGATCTCGTTCATGTTCTTGACGTCGTTGTTGAACAAACAGGATTGCTTCAGGACTAGTCACTGTTACTTCTGGAAGTAAATCCATCCAAGACTCAATAAGTCTATTGCCAGTGAGTTGAAATCTAGTCATCCACTTCTGAAGATCCATGGTTCCTCTGTTGAACTTCATGAACTGCATGAAACGGTATAAGAACACGTTCTGGGCACCTTTGATGAAATGAGGTCGTAGAAATCTTTTGAAATAAGCCACTCCTTCATAGGGATCCCTGAGTAATTCTCTATCCAATAGCCTCTTGTATTGTTGAGCATCTCCTTCCAGTCTGTTGCGCAATGCTGGACCACGTTTCTCTGGTTCTAACTCCGTAATGTCACACCAGTCATCAATTGCATCCTCAAAAGCAAAGAAGCTGGTTCGCCCATCATAGGCTGGAGCAACCTTTGTGGTCATCTGTTGCGTCATATGAATCTGTGTTTGCTGGGGTGCTCTTCTCATTGCATAAGAGTCATATTGGTTCCATTCATTTGCATCGACAATGTCGAAGTCATCATCATCATAGCCATGGCTTGCCATTTCTTGGGCTCTACCTGGAGCTCACCCTCAATGAGGGATCACAGCTCCGCTACCACTTGAAGAGGGGCCCTAGCGTCTACTTCAAGATCAGCTAAGGCGTCTTCCCCAATGACAGCACTCTTTTACTCTCAGCCTGTTGCCGGTCAGTGCTTGTCTGCAGGGTTACTCTATATACCTCTTGAGCCTTGAAGGGTGCATATAAATGTGCTCAATACTCATGCATGTACCTATGTAGGTATTAGGTCGAAACAAAAACAGGGGGGGGGTGGGTTCAAGTTAGACGGGGCAAAAATCCGCGCCAAGGGAAAGTCTAGACAAAGACAAAAGACTAAACAAACAGTACAACTACGAACAAGCAAGATCCACAAGACACGCCGGCAGGCCGGCGGATTATTCCATATATAACCACTAATATAACATAATATAACCATATAACCACTATTAAAATCCCATCATATAACCATATATAACCACTATTATAACCATATAACTAGTATTATATTGGGATTTTCTATCACCATCCACGGTGGCACGGTGGCACGGTGGCCCGGCGGCACGGACCCGAGGTCGAAGCTTTACACCCACCCGAAGTCAGTGGGGCAAGGTCTGCGGACGGACTGGTGCCCTGGGGCCCTGGGGAAAAGCCCCTTTACCGAATGAAAACATATTAATCGCCAATTGGACAATCACAGTTTTTCATAGATAAATTTTCATAGGTAAATCATGGTAAATCAAATTCAATCATCGAACTAAATGAGAGTTTTTCATAGCTATGTTGAATTACCATAGGGTAACCAATAAAAACGAGGTTTTATTAACCAACACAATTTGGGTTTGAGATGTTTGAAGCAAGACACATGGCGGCTTCAACAACCCCACTTGCTCTCTTCATTCAGAAGTCTTTTCTGGGGATTTCGCAATCATTGGGGGTTTCAACCATCACAGATATGAGGACATTGATGGTTAGTACCTCGATTAGGCCTACGTTTTGGCTCGCTTAGGTCTACGTCACAGACACATGATGATATTTGCAAATTATGGCAAGGTGGTGCCCCCAAGATAGCTAAGTTGGTTTATAACTCCAATAACTATGGTTTATAGGTGATATATCGATAGTTAATGGGGTTTATAAACCAATTTATAACTAGGGGGGCACCACATTGGGTTGGTTGATGATCATGGGGGTAGTGCCATGGTGATTTTCATCATTCAACTGCGAGCCCCCATTCACCATCCAATACTGCAGAAAAAGATGTTCCAATTGCTTGCAGACATTGCTCACTTGAGCAAAACTGGGGCTGATATGGGTGTAATCAACGAAATCATGAAATTCCTATTAAGAGCCATGAAAAACAATGACAGTGTCATTAAAACCTACCAGAATGAAAGAAATTGCAATTAAAACCCATGAAAGTGAATGAAGTTGCCGTGAAAACCCACTAAAATACATGAAACTGTCACTGAAACCCATTGAAATTCATGAGCTTGCCATATTAAAACATATTAAAACCCTTGAAAAATCATGAAAAATCATGAAAATGGTAAAAACCCATGAAGAACTCCAATTTTCCGCACCTTTTTATTTTCGTCATTTTCGACTCGGGACCCACTTTTTGTCGGTTCGCCTCAGCACTCGGTACCAGGCGGGGCGCAGCGCAGTGGCCCTAGCGGCCGTGGTAGATGTCACGTTTCTTGGATCGCGTGAGGATCGCCGTGGATTGTGTGGAAATATCATGGACTATTCATGGTGAATATTTTGAACATGACTGGTAAATGATGGTTTCCATTAAGTGATTAACATGGTGATTAACCATATTAGAATCTGGTTGGTGGTATATTAATGGTGAATGAACCATCAATATCCATTTTGATATCATGGACTTAATATGACTATTCATGGTGAATATTAAACATGACTGGTTGGTGGTAATGATGGTTAATCATGGTTAATCATTGTTAATAATTATCTGGTTGGTGGTTTCAAAATGTTTCAAACATGAATTTTATTTTCCATTTCATATATGGGATGTCATCCTTCCCATTGACGAACTCATATTTTTCAAGATGGTTAAGTCACCACCAACCAGTAATGGACTTAATGGTGATCCGATGGTGATTTGATGGGGGTAATCAAGAACCATGGACTTAGGATTGATTTTCCCATGACCAAAATAGGAGATACAGAGATATCATGGGAATATGATGGGATGTAATGGAATTAAAATGTTGATTTGATTAGTGAAACCATCATGGTAAGGTGGTGCTGATTTCTGGTGATTTAATGGTGGGAATTGTTGGACGTATTATGTACATACTCATGGGGATTATCAGTAAGAACTACCCTCTGGTAATTTGTTACAGTTCGCTATTGAAAATGGCCATAGAAATAGTTGATTTACCCATAGCATGGTGATTTTCCATAGTTATGTTTGTCTACCAGAGGGCAATTTGAGATTAACAAAAAAATGCCATTTTCCCATGACCAAAATCACCATTTTGTTCATTTTTATAGGTACAAACCAATCCCAAATGGCAGGTTTATGGCAGGTTGCCCATATGAACAAAAAGACATATGTATGGTGATTGGTGGAAATATTTTACGGACTATCGGTAATATACCTCTTTAATGGGATATGTTTATTAAATTAATGGAATACACATTCATTTCATGGTTGAGTGAACTTATTATCATCAATATCTATGAAAGAACGTTGATATTAATAGGGGAATGGGCATGCTAGTGGGCATGTAATGAATGGAAATATAACTGAATAGTACGGACTTTTAAAGAGAGATTGAATCTTATGGAATATATTTTGGTTTCATGGAAATATGATAAGATAAGAGTGGTGATTGAAGGGTTATTGAATGATGATTGAATGATGGGTTGATGAACATTATGATGAACATACTGATGTGGATAATGAGTGATAAATAGCAAGCATAAAGCTAGAGTGGAAATATATTGGACTATAATTTGATATCAATAGGATACTAATGGAATACTGGTTAAGTTACCCTCCCCTGTCATCAAACACCGCTGGGAAATCCCCGAACTAGATAGAGGTCTCTAGCTGGGAAAATTATCTATAAACTACCCGCTGGTAAACTAACATAGCTATTGAAAATCATCATTTTTAAGAACGGTAAACCATCTATAAATGGGCCATTTTCCATGGCTATGTTAGATAACCAGAGGGTATAAATGGTGGATTTTCCATTACCATTGATTTCCAGATGGTGTAAAGAGGTTTTTTGAACGGGAAAGAATGGAAGAAATCAGCGGAAGAATGCATGAGTTGGCATGAAAAAAGTCCACAATCCATGCGGGTTTCACCAGAAAAAAAATTCTGGATATGGGATATCCAGTGATATCCATGACATATTGGGACATAAATGTCCCTGTTTTGACGCTACAATCATTTACTTGACATAAACAGTTGTTCCAGTAGATTTGTTGAATGGAATGACCACGATTGGAAGATGATCCTGGAATTTCTCCACGGTCTTTCCATGTTTTTTCCACGTTTTTTCCATGGCTTTTTCCATGGATTTCCTGAGTTTCGAAGGGTGAAGTCTCTGAACCAACTTCAGGACAGCCGAAGAGCTGGATGAGGCGCATGTCGCCATGATGCATGGCATGATGGGAAGCAAAGATCAATAACTTATGATTGATAATTTGGGAATAACCAGGAATCGTTGAATAACCATGATGGCATTAAATGACTGTTATTCCGATTAATAAATGAGAACATTGTTCATATTGATTGGAATAATAATTGATGGGAATATCTATGGGATATTCCGAAGCTCGATGTGGTCTTCACGATGCTTTAAACATTGTTATACCCAATTTACATCAATTTACCGGTCTGTGATGCTTTGTTATGGACATATCATAGGTGAACATGGGTGATTTCTGAAAATTATGATGGGACAACATGGTGATTTCATGAGAGTTTTCGTGATACAATGATGGGGCCTTAGACGATGGAAATACAATGGACTCATGGTGATTTGACGGGGACCAACGGATAAAGGCCAGTGATCTAACCTAAAAAAACTTTGTGAAAACGAGTGGTGATTTAATGTTTTTTTTTAAGCCATCAAATGATTCAACTGATCATCTTTACCATATCATGGGATGAGAACATGGGATGAGAAAATGGGAAGATCATCTGAAAAAAAGGTAGGATTATCTTAAGCAACATCATGGGGGATTTGAGATCACCAGTCATCACCAGTCTGATTGGATCGGAGTTTCTCCATGTTTCTCGCCGCTCTAAGCAGAAGGCGTAAGCAAGCTTTGGCGTAGCCAAAATGAATCCCAAAAAATGATATGACATAGGGAGTGAAGGTTTTCAGAATGGCTCATTTGTCATGAATTGAAATCTTGGGCTGTGGAACAGACTCATCCGGTGGCTTAGCTGCTTCGCCGAATCATCGTTCTGAACGGGAGATTCATCCCCGAAAAGTATGGGAGTTATCGGCGAACGTGGCAAGCTGTCTGAAGGGTTTTAAGGTTCCTACTTTTTTGGTGAATCAATAATGGTAATATATTGGTAATCATAATTATGCCGTTTGAAATTGCCATAAATTTGGTGGAATTCCCCTTATTTGCAGACACATCCATGTCAAATTGTTTGCAGTGAGTTGTGTATCCCATCATATCTCCATTATACTGTTTAATCTCATCTAATTGATTGTATTTTTCCTCATCACCAGATGGTTAGTCTTTCATTCCCAGAGGTTGAACTTCCCCAGTTTTAGACACACCCATCCATTATATGATTGGTATTCATTGGTTGTATATTCCATGAAATATCACATTCAACCAGGCTGGTAGATGGTTTCTCCCATGAGAATCCCTAACATTTTCGTGACCGTGGAAATCATACCATCCTCATAGAATTGGATGATGGGAAAATTGGAACCGGAAAGCCCTATATTTGATGGTAAAAAAACCATGGGAAAATCCGGTTTTCAGATTTTCCCAACACAACCAATCCAGTGACATCCACAGTTTCCGGCATGTTCATGTTTACTAAAGCATGTCACATGCAACACCATGCAACTGTACAGTGGGCTGTTCAAGCTCTCACACGGGCTTTACTACCATAGGAATCCAGGAACCTGCTCTGTGACAGAATGTTAAAATCACCCTCAATTGTTGGTTACACCCATGTTATACCCCTATAAAGCCGCGCCATTCAAGCACCATAAATCGCCACCATTTCCGTTTCGGCTTCGTTCGTTCATTTTCCAAGACCCAACTCGTTGTTTAACGAAGGCGATTGCGAAGACTGCCCAAGAGGACGAAAAACATTTTGGGACGATCCATGGTAAAACAACCGTAGCCATGGAAAATCCCAACCATAAATGGAGGTTTATAGCTGGGAAGATCATCTATTTCTATGGGCCATTTTCCATGGCTATGTTAAATAACCAGAGGGTATGTATATAGATGGTTTACCATGGAAAATGGTCCATAGAAATAGATGGTTTACCGTTCTAAAAAATGGTGGATCTTTCCATGGCTATGTTCAATAACCAGAGAGTATATGTAGTTTACATACTCATAAACATGTGTATATATATAAACATTGTTGTTTTACTCAAATGAGTTATTATTGTTTTACTATGGACTTCATGGGTCTAATGGGTGAAAAACATGGTAGTAATGTTGGTATATTGATAAGATCCACCATTCCCAATTTCACCATAAATTGATATAGGTGGTTTGTACAAACCATTCCCAGTCATGGGTGGTAAAAATGGCATTGTTTTGCCACCATTCGTGGAAGAATCAACTCAAAGCCTTTCTAGAATTTTGAGTTTTTAGAATGCCAAATTCTATGCATTTGTGTTTATAGGTTTTTACCTAGGTGCCCCCAACGTCCTATTTTGCCGAAATCACCTCAACGGTTTCAGTACTCAAAGGCGACCTGTTTTACTGTTCGAAATGAAGTTTCGCCACTGGTAGCCTCTGGATTTATCCATCCAGGATTGAGATCAGGATTTCAAGAGAGCCTATTCATGTCCATTGTTAATCCATTGTTAGTCTAGAATAGTATAATACTATAGTTAATCTCTAGATTGCTCTAGTACATTATGTTAACAATCAACATTCCATTGTGTTCCTCCATTGTCAATTGTGCCATGGTAAATCTTTGTGAATCAGAAACCTCGGCCTTTGTTCAATCGGCCACAGCTGTTTTTTCCGCAGGAGCCCAATGTGTTGATCGTGGGCTACTCTACCACTTGGTCCCTGGGCACATTTTTTCGGCACCGAGAAAAATGGGGCTGTGAAACACCAATCATTTTAGGCACTTACCCAACCTGGTTATGTCAACAGTTTGCGAACTGGAAAATATCCATTGAAATAGTGAGTTTTCCCATTAAAAATGGTGATGTTCTATAGTTATGTAAACGTTTACCAGAGGGTAACATCAGGTAAATTAACAATCACCAAGTACCAACCATTCAACCAAGTCAAGTGTTTTAAGATATCTTAAGATGTCCCCTCCAAACCCCGGGTTTGCCTACACGAGAAAACAACACATCCAACAATTTTGATATACTTATCACCAGATGAATCAAAACACTGGCTATACTGGCAGTGATTTTGACATAAAAAGTTTTCAGGATTTCATGGACTTTTAGGGTCATTAAAGGGTCATTAAATCCAATGATGAACCAAAATCAGTCCATGATTGGTTGCAGTCCCCATCATCCAATAATCAGCCGCTTCAGTCCTTTTATCCACTGATCAGAAAAACCACGAATGAACTGCCACAGATCCCACTTAAAACCAGGCAATTGTCATACCTACCAAATCATTAACAACCTAAATCATTACCAACATTAACCAATTTTGTCATGAACCAATTCTGAAATGTTTTTGCTGATGATAAAAACAATCGTAACATGCACCATTTGTCGTTGGTGCAACCTCTCATCAAGCTACAGGTTTTAACACCAGTCATTAACCACCCACTCACCAACCACTCAATATCCCAATGTTTGCTAGTGAAATCATCGTTGAACCATGTTGAACCCCTATGAAATCATGGTCAAACCTTATATCAACTACTATTTCTAGACAGAGAGTTTGCATTTGTTGGTGAAATCCCATTAACCCCCCATGAAATCCCATTAAAAAACACATAAAATCGGATGAACCAATCACTCACCATGAAATTAATCATTACATCCCATGTCCCATTTCCCATCCACCATTTTTTACCAGTTTTTACTCCCCCATCCACCAATGGCTCTTAACAAACCCTCGTGCCTCGCGCCTCGAGGTGTGGTCCTTGCAAACTCATGGATCCCAAGGCGCAGTTGAGAGCGACGCCACAGTAGACGAATGGTATTCGAATGGCATCTGTGGGGAAATGATTATTGATACCCTCTGGTTATGACTAACAGTTTGCCATGGAAAGATCCACCATTTTTAAGAACGGTAAACCATCTATTTCGATTAGGGCCTATTTCTATGGGCCATGGCTTCCATGGCGAACTGTTAAATAACCAGATGGTATGTGTTATTGATATGTGTTAAAAATATCTTAAGACACTTAACTTGATTGATGGTTGCTTGGTTATTGGAAATCAATGGTAATGGTTTTTTCCATTGATACCCTCTGGTAAATTAACATAGCCATGGAAGCCATGGCCTATTTATGGATGGTTTACCGTTCTTAATAGCATGATGATTTTCCATGGCGAATTGTTAAATAACCAGATGATATGTGTTATTGATATAATTATTATATTGATTGTATATGCAAACATATTACTAAAACGTCTTATATTGATTTTTTAGTGATATGTTTTATATTGATATGTTTTATTTATACTTTAACAGTTAAAACAATATTGTTATTATTATTAATCATTATTATTATTGTAATTAGTATTATTATTATTATATATATAAATATGTTATTTCATTTATGTGTTTAATTGATTGGTGATTATTGTTATTATATGTATAGTTATTATTGATAATATGATTATTGTGGTAGAACTAGGAACAATGGCATCACATGATGATTACATGGTATTTTTTATTTTATAACTTCAATAAGTAAGATTAAGTTATGTTTTTCCTTTTTAATGGGTGGTAATATATTCATATGATGATATGATGATTTAAAATGGCGTCATAATGCCCGGTTGTCACTATGATTCATCGGTGATGAAATGCAAAGATTTTGGAGGCGTGGGTTCATTGGTCATCAAAAAGGGATTTGGATACGACCTACCCTCTGGTAAACATACAAAAAGCTATTGAAAATAGTCATTTATAGTGGATTTTCCCATTAAAAATGGTGATTTTCTATAGCTATGTTAAATTACCAGAGGGTAGCTTATTGTCACATTCAACCAGTAACACTGTGGATGGTTGCAATTCAAAGCTGGTAGATGGTTTCTCCCATGAGAATCCCTCACATGTTTAAGTGACAATGGAAATCATACCATCCTCATAGAATTGGATGATTGGAAAATTGGAACCGGAAACCTCAACCAATTTGATGATAAAAATTTCCCCATGGGAAAATCCCGGTTTTTAGATTTTCCCTTAACCAATCCAATGTTGGGGATTACCTTAAGCGGTCGTAGCCATGATCCTGCCAGGACTGGGATACCAGGGGATACCAGTTACCATGGCAGATGGCAGCTGAAATGGTGGACTAGTGGCTGGGGTTAAAAAATGGGAGATTGTGGATGACTTTTTTGGATGTATCACCTTCAGAATGGCTGAAATGGCGGAAACTTTTTCACCAGAATTATGTTCCTCGTATGAATGGATGAGTTCCCATTGGATCAGAGGATAGAACTCGCAGAGGTTCTGGAAGAAAATCTTTGCATTGCAGGTCAAAGAGCTCAGTGAAATGTTCGAAGGAAAGGCGTCTTTCCTCAAGGCTCGTGGGCCTTAAACAACTGGCTGCGATAAACAACTACATGGGGATGCTGTTTTTGAACTTTATAACAGCCATAAAAGTGCTGACTTGAGGATGGTTTAGGGTTTAGGGTGGGTTTACCACATTACACCCAATAGTCATGCCATTCCTATAGATTTGCTAACAGAGGTTTAGGTCGACCAAAACCATCCTAAACCTCTATATAATTGTCAATTATATTCATATGAACCACTAAGAGACATCTCTACTAACTATTTATTGAATATATACATATACTGGTTGGTGGTTTGGAACATTTGTTTCCATAATATATGGGATAATCATCCCAACTGACTTTCATATTTTTCAGAGGGGTTAAAACCACCAACCAGAAATGTTCTTGAGATGTCTTCGACCCCATTTTTCACGGCCGCGGGGCCATCTTCACGTCGCTTCATCGCTGAGGGTGCTGCCGTTGGGACGTGTCAGCTTTCGACGATCCATCTGGGTACTTAGTAAACCCAAATCAAAAGTATCCATTTGGATTTAATAAGTATCCAGATGGATACTGTTGATATCCAGATAATACTTAGTATGACGATCCATCTGGATATTTTTTTTTGAAATATGTTAGTTTGTTCATACTAGCATAGGCTGTGCATACTAACAACATTATAACACTGTACAGAGAGTCTTTATTCATGGTGGTTCCCAAGTTCCCGAGGACTTTTTTATTCAAGTAGCCTAAATAGATCCAAATAGCTCTAAATAGCCGTGTTTCTTGGGGGTTGTATCAACCTCGAACATATCGGCCGCGGCCGTTTCGACATCTCAAGTCAAGGGGAATTCCAGCGGACGCATCTCAGCAGTCAAGGGTTGGTCTCAAGTGTTTCATGTTGGAAATCGCAACACAAGACCGGAAATCGCAATACCTTGCAATATGTTTCAACTACAGGTATGAATATATATATATGGTCCCGTGTCTCGTGTTCACCCGCCCCCTATGGTATGGGGGTTACCCCCCCCCACCCCCCATTGCTAGTCACAGCATCATGGCAAGGATGATTTTGAAGAGGTCTTGCACCCTTTACTCAAGACATGGGTCCATTGAAACATATTTTGATTCACATGAATATAAAAATCACATCTATAGTTTCTACCTTATACGGCTGTGATCAAACATGCACATCTAAATTAATCATAGAGTACACAGCTTGCCTTCTTCGGTGCCAGTGACCATTAACAGTGGTCCAGCGGCCCTGTGGGGAAGTTTTCATTGATGATACTGCATCTAACTGCATCTGCTAAAGCATGAATTCAGCAAGTGCTGCAAGCACAAACCCCCACCCCCCCACACCCCAACCCCCGCACACTACATCCACAAGGGGGGGAGGGATACACACATATACAATATATATATACACATTTATATTTACATACACACATACATGCATACATACATATTTATTTATATATGTAGAAATTTCCGAAAGTGGAGGTGCCAAATTCATCCATGTTCATATGATTTTCGACTATAAACCATCCATTTTGGGGTACCACCATGTTTGGAAATACCCATGTATAGGTATAGCTAGAGTGGTTATATCCAAACTTATAGGGCTAAGTTAGAGCTTTGATAAGAACTGGGGCGATATAACTTTAGGGTAAAGTTTTGACAATATCATGAAATATCCAAAACTGAGTTGTTTCATGTGTCAAATATTGAGAAACGGTTCGATTTTGGGGTGCCTTTTCAAGCACCCCAAAATGGTGGTTTCCACGTGTATGTGTGTGTGTGTGTTCAATCGTTAAAGAGTTAGCCGGTCATCAAATTCAAACATATTCAAACAGTAGTTAACCATTTGTCATGCTAGATACAGAATGGGAACTTCCGTTAGAACAAGCGAGTGGAACCATATTTGCTGGCCCATACCACCGAGCAAGTGGGTCACAACCCCATTAATAAGTAGGGCAAGTGGGGTTAGTCCAGTTATAGCAGGGGAATATAACCCCTCAATGACCATAGTCTATGTTTTTTTCGAAGCCCACCTTACTAACTGGGATGAACCACCAAGTGATGATGCATTAAAGAAACCACGCTTACCAACTCGGATGAAGCAAGTAATGGTGCATAGTTTTCTAAACCCTGGGATGAACCACCATGGCGCATATTTTCTTCGTATCAATAAATACCCACTTGCTTTTCCAATATAGCCCACTTACAGTCAATTACTTGCTAGGATGGCCAGCTATGATTTGTCACCAGGATTTATTTTTTCCACATTTTATTGTGCATACAAGCTTGTGCGTGCAACACTGGCACGGTGTCATGTCTCTTCTAGAAGGAAGTGCAGGGCTTTGCCAATCATGATTCAAGCTGACCAGGAACGCCGTGCCTGAAATGCCCATAGAAATTCATCATCAGCGCATCAAAGTTCATTCCGTGATGCCTAGAGTTGTTGATGATGTTGTCGTTTTTTCTTGTTTGGCATTGTTTGATTTTTGCGCAGCTTCTTTCTTTTACAGTAGCCGCCGGCGCCACCCATAAGCCTGACCGACAATCATGCTGTATGCCGTTGCATTCAGTTCTTCTTGGCCGATCCTGGCTGGGCTCTATGATTTGGTTACAACTCAATTTCTTTTCAGGGTCGTTGTGAGGGGCTCCTCAATTTGCAGTTTCGTGTGGCAATTCTTGACCCGCATTTGGCAAAACCGCAGGTGATGGGAGACAAGGACCCTGCATGTTTTTGTCTGGTTTGAACGGTGGGAAGCCATCGGCAGGGGCTTCAGCAACAGGTCCGAGTAGATCGATGTTCGAGGATGTTCGGGGCCCAAACAAGATTTCATAAATTGATAGACCGACACATCGACACACCATTTGACAGTAGGTAGTGAAACGTGTAGATTTTATATCTGTTTGAACTAAGCACTTCAAACATTGGTATTTTCCAATATGTCCAGCAATGCTCGGGCATCCTTTCTCTTCGATGCATCAACCGTGGACGGCATCAAATCAACAGTCTTATGAACATGGCCAGCACTGGGTTCCATGCTATACTTGTATAAACCTAGAACAAGAAATCCCGGACGCTTTCCGATCTCGTTTCTTCCCATAAATAGTGCCAGGGGAAAAGCAAAAATGCCGGACAAAAACAGAGTTCCATCTACGCTCTATTTGTTTCCTCCGTTGGCCCTGTCCAAAGTGGGCGTCAGGCTGCCGTGCGCGTAGTTCGGCAACAAATCATGCATGTGAGTTCCTTGTGCGAACTGGTTAAATCATTTCATTTTCAGACATTGTTCGGTTGGTTTAATTGATCGTTTTGCGTTGTTCATATTCCATGTGCCAAATTTGGGTCACACATGTTACCACTTTTGGGTCACCCTCCTCAGCATTTGGAAGGGCATTTTCTCCCGGACCATGGTTACCTTGAAACAGGATGCAGCTCGCATGCAGATCATGAAGCGAGAGCAAGTCAGAACTGTACCTCGACGCCCAGGGTTCAGTGGTTCGGGAAGGGCGCCCCTCAAGTGGGGCAACCCTCCACACGATGTGAACCATGGTTAAACACGTGTGTTAGATTTACTGATTTACCCGGATGTTCATCAACCAATAAAAACATCATAATTTTATTTATTTCAATATATATAACATATATTTATATATATGATATGCTTATATAATATATAATATATAGAATATAAATTTAAAATATAACATATATATATATATATATATTTAATATAATATATTAATAAATAATAATAATAAACAAAATAATAATAATAACTTTACTTCGTGTGACCCCCACCATGACATTTATACATTTTCTTACTGGCAAATCTTCTGGCATTCTATCTGACACATCTTCTGGCATTCTATCTTGCATATCTTCTGGCATATGTTCTGGCATATCTTCTGGCATTCTATCTGGCATATCTTCTGACATTTTTTCTGACATTCTATCTGGCATATCTTCTGACATTTTTTCTGACATTCTATCTGGCATATCTTCTGACATTTTTTCTGGCATTCTATCTGGCATATCTTCTGACATTCTATCTGACATATCTTCTGACATTCTTTCTGGCATATCTTTTGACATTCTGTCTGGCATATCTTCTGACATTCTTTCTGGCATTCTATCTGGCATATCTTCTGACATTCTATCTGACATCTTGTCTGACATTCTTCCCGTTGAGGTCCGGCAGTGCCCACTGCGATCTGGAAGTCGCGGTTGAGGTCCGGCAGTGCCCACTGCGATCTGGAAGTCGCGGTTGAGGTCCGGCAGTGCCCACTGCGATCTGGAAGTCGCGGTTGAGGTCCGGCAGTGCCCACTGGGATCTGGAGCTCGCGGTTGAGGTCCGGCAGTGCCCACGGGATCTGGAGCTCGCGGTTGAGGTCCGGCAGTGCCCACTGCGACCTGGAAGTCGCGGTTGAGGTCCGGCAGTGCCCACTGCGATCTGCAACTCGCGGTTGAGGTCCGGCAGTGCCCACTGGGATCTGGAGCTCGCGGTGGAGGCCGGCTGTGCCCACTCGGATCTGGACTGCGAGGAGGAGGCGGAGGAGGCGGAGGAGGCGGAGGAGGAGAAGAGCTCTGTTAAAATCTAGCAACCCTCACCTGGCAGGTGGGGAAAAAACATACATAATATATATATATATATACTGTTTGTCGTTGGATCCCCTTTTGGGATTCATGACCATACTACACAGACCATGTTTTGGCCATGGCACACGTGTTCTGTGAGGAAGTGAAACTTGTGCGAACCACTGGGATGGACGATGCGCTGGGCCCACAAATCATGGCTGGTTTCTGATTGGAACATGGCAAAGAGGTGAATGAAACATGGTGATTTAAAGAGACACTGACAAAACAAATCAGAACTGGTGATTGAACGGAAAATACAGAAAAATGTGTTTTTGATTTGTAGATAGGGTCGAGCTGCACATCTACGATGGAAATGAAAAACACAACATTTGAATATCTATAATCTATAAACAAATATGTTGTTAATGAATGCTTCAGATGTTTCGACATCTAAACAACCAGCCCAACAAAACCAGGAAGCGTTGACCACAAAAAACAAGTGGTGGTTCTTGTGGCTGATTCCATGTCGGATGTCATTCAACTGTAGATGAATACATTGCCACCATGAATCGACATGATAGATAAATAGAGATCTATACATGTTATATGTTTATATATATAGTAATGATACATAAAATTATATATATAACTATATATAATTAGAAATATCATGGAATATTTATATATATTTATATTTATACAGTATCCCTATGTTTGTTTTTTTTCAAACACTTCAGCGGCTGACATTTTTGCGGCTCAATCCCATGGTCCCGTGGGGTTTTTCGTTTTTCGAGGTGCCTCTGTACCAGATTTACAAGGAGCCGGTGGTGTTTTACGACGCAGGCAAATAACAGTAGTAATTACAATGCATGTATATATTATCTATATATAGGATATGCCCCGCACATATGTACATATATATATATATACATATATAATGTATATATATATATACATACATATATATATATACATATATGTATATATATACATGTCTATGCGTTTGTTCATTAGTCACTGACTCGGCGCCCGAAAATGGAGATTGAGAGGATAGACATGAAGTAGACCCCAATTTGTGGCATGTTTTTAATGCGGAACATATTGCTGCAGAAAAGGATGGAATGGGACATCCATCATGCATCCCCAACCTTGGATGGATATTTTAGTCCTGACTCTATAAATGGAACATAGCCAGCCAACCAGCTAATGTGTGTACTATCAAAGATTGACCATGTTGAAGTGGGACAATTAGACTTTCAAATGCTTCAAACCATTGGCTTCCAGTGGTTTTCCTCTCAGACAAAGCAAGGTTTTGTGATGATTCCAATGTCCAGCCATTGCCATGTCGCACATCCGACCATCGGATTCAAAATATCTAGGTCGATCAAGAAAATGGTTGCAATGTGGTTTGTTTACCCCGAAACAGCCGTCGAAAATAATCAATTTTGGGTTTTCCCCTGGTTTTAACATTAGGTAAAAGAAAATCAAGGGTTTCAAAGATTAGCCATGCAATGTAAGCCATGTCCCATGAAAGTTGGACAGCTTTGAGGTGAAACTCATGCGCACCATCGAAACTTGGGTGGTTTGGATCTGACCAACGACCATGTGATGGGACTTGTCATTTAAGGATATGTGGTATTTTTTATTTGTTAGTAACATTATTTTGTCTTTCCGGACAAAAATTGGTCCAAAGTGATGAGAGCCCATGATGGTTTCTTGCCTGTTTCATTCATGATTGGTTAATTAAGTGAGTTGTTACAGCAGATACTATGTGTCTTTGGTGATACATGATGTATCGTATGATATTGCAGTTGATACAGGTACTCACTTGTATGACATATATCACCATTTTACCCCATCATCCTGTCATATTTCCATTCTCCTCCGGTGTCATCAAACGTGACAATGGAAAACCAAACATTTAGTTGAAACTCCCAGCTCTAAACATCCATTTATAGTGGATTTCCAGCTAGACATGTTTGATGACATGGAAGGGTTACTCTACCAGTATTATCCAGTATTCCTTTCATATCCCAAATAGTACCTCATCATATTTTCATTCAAAACCCCACTATACATCCCATATTAGGTCCCATTATATCTCACTGGTAGATTGTAATTGGGCAAGTCCATTATATTTCCATTACACCATCATCTTTGTTGTTTGTTTACCATTGTAAAAAATTTAGGTGCATTATCCATTAAGACAATATACATCCATTATATTCACTTTGAAATTATAAAAACAAAACTATATTTTAGTTGTGTATACCATGAATGGTATATTGGCTCATTCAATCATATTTCCATGAAGTCACCATCAAATAATCATTAAATCACCATTGAATCACCATGTTCACACGATATATCCATGAAACCTTTTTTCCGTGGGTACGTGCGTGATATGTCAATCAAATCATCATTCAATCCCATTTAATAATGATTAAACGTTACTGAAACAACAACTATGCGCATGATATTTCCATCAGACCTCTTTTTCCATGATATATCCATCAGTATCCAATCATTCATACATATTTATATATATATATATATACATATTTACATATACATTCCATTGTTAAATGTCCTGTCAGTAAACAACTATCCGAATATCACTACCCATAATATTTCATTAAAAACACAATTCCATTCTATGTTAAAGGAACATTGGCTATTGATTAAATCGATGATATTTCCATGCAACCAACATTAAATCCCATTGAGTAACCATCATGCCATCATCAACAAACCACTATTCTCATCATATTCCCATGATATGCAGCCATTAAACCAACTAATTTTCCATGATATGCAACCATATCCCATGATATGTTCACTATAACTATTATCATTGTTTAAAACATGAAAATCATTGTATTTCCATGAGATTTACCATGATCTGCAGCCATTAAATCAACTAAATGTTTATCTATTTCATCTATTTCCTTGATATGCCTGATATGCCAACCATTTCCCATGATATTGAACCATTCATTTCATGAAATGTCCACTTAAAATGTCCATGATATGCAGTCATATCCCACTATTCATTTCCACTGAATTCCATTAGGTCGAGTCAATGTGAACGTTCCATGTCAGGACAGGATTTGGTATGGCATGGAACCATGGATATTTCCACGTGGTTTGTGGTGCCCCCGATTTACGTTATGTTAATTGGTTTCTAAACCCCATTATAGAATATTATATAGATATATCACCTATAAACCATAATTTTTGATACAAGGTGGTGCCCCGATTTACGTGACATGTTTATTGGTTTTTATTCACTCCATAATACTAGTTCGGTATATCACCAACAAAAACCGAATTTGAAGTTTTTTTTTAACACCAACTGAACGCTATCGACTAGAGGCACCACCTTGCATGTAATCACTATTAAGTCCACTAACCACTGTTAACCACTATATAACCACTATCAACCACTATTAAGTCACTATTCACCATTATTAGCCACTATTAAATCACTATTCACCATTATTAACCACTATTAAATCACTATTCACCATTATTAACGACTATTAAATCACACCAAAAACCACTAAAATCACTAAAATCTAGTCATTGATGACACCACTTTTGTTTTTTACGACCCGCGACGACATGTTTCCGATGCCAGGACGGCCAGAAGGTGGGCTCGGTCTCAGGCGCGGATGCGGAGCGCTTGACCAGCAAGATCGAACAGCGCCTCGGCATCGGTTGTTGGTGTGATTTAATAGTGGTTTTTGATTGGGATGAAAAAAACGATTTTTGATAGTGGTTAAAAATGGTGAATAGTGGTTATGTTGTGGTTAATAGTTGTTATATAGTGGTTAATGGTGGTTCTATAGTGGTGAATGGTGGTAAACGGTCATTTATAGCGGTTTTAATGGTTATAAGTTATAGTTTATTCGGCAATGGCTTGAAATATACAATAACCAGTAACGGGTTATAATAACACATTAGTTGTTACCTGTTTAAATATTCAATAAAGTAATAGTGGCTATTTATAATGGGTAATGGTCATAATGGTCAATTTGGTTACCAATGGCTAATGCATGGTGATGGTATAGTACAGGGTAGTGCCCCCAGTGAAATGTTAGTTGGTTTATCTTGAGCATAGTAACTAGAGTAAACCATACTAATTGCCTTCTGGTTGTTTAACGTAGCTATGGGAAATCACCATTTTTGAGAATGTTAAATCATCATGTTTATCATCGATTTCCATGGGCCATGGCTTTCATATAGCACGGCCCGTTCAAAAAATCACCAGCAACGGCTACTAAATTTATACCATGGATTTTCCCAGCTATTCACCATTACTAACCACTATTATATCACTATGAAATCACTATTTAACCACTATTAAATCACTAGTCACCATTATTAACCACTATCAAAATCACTATTGTAACCATCAGTTTTTTCGTGGGGTTATAAACCATCCAGCTATTGGGGGTACCCCCATTGGAAAGCTGCAAATGGGGATGGGTCAAGTTACCGGCAACTCGTTTTAGGCTATCTGGGAAATAACAGATTCATAAAGCTACCAAAAACAGGGAGATGAAAACCACATTACTAGTGGTCAATGGTGGTTCATAGTGGTTTCTGAAAATTAGGGCTACTTTTTCAATAGTCATCTCATCTGATACTTTTTTATGGTACCCGAAAACATTGCTCAACAGCCGTCGTTTGGGGCTGACATTATATAATCCAGGGTTGACATTACCACGCGGGGAACAGTTGATGATTGGAAATGATCAAAGCAGGTGAACAGTCCAGGACTTCTCAATTCTTGGAGGACTTGTTTTTCGGAAAAAAACACAAAAACGGCTTTGCGAGGACACCCCCAGTTTTTTACTCCGGCGAAAAAACATGTCTGTGCTTCCAATCAGACTACTGAAACACGGTGAGTCTACAATTTTGTAGATGGCTATCAATAGCGATACCCCTTCTTAAATCCCAACCTTTTTGATGTTACAGGCTTTTTTACATCCCCGGGTACTGAAATATCTGAAATCATATATTTCTGAGTGTTACTAGCCATCACAGTATCCACCACCTTCGAACTTGTTTTTTGTTTGGACTCAAGGTATCGGGAGAATGTCACCATAGAACCTCGTTTTGAAAAAAAAACATCTCGTATTAGGGATAGACGACATCACCATTACTGGTTGGTGGTTTCAAACCATTTTTTAATCACCCCAAGTGACTTTCATATTTTTCAGAGGGGTTGAAACCACCAACCAGAATATATATATATATAATATATATATATATATAATATGTTATAATCCCATCATATAACCATATATAACCACTATTATTATATAAAACAATGCCTCCAACGAAAAAAGTGACCACCTTCGAACTTGTCTTAATTGTTCGGACCTCAGGAGTTACCTCGCAAGAGCAGTCGAGTATACCCGTTGCGGGGCCCCTTTGTACTTAAGATATTTAAGATATACCCCCCATATAAAGGTTGGTGAAATCCCATGATATTCCCATATGGTTTCCCTATGAAAACGCTGTCTTTTAATCAATGTTCATCCCCATATCTATGATAGTTAAAAACCTCAAGACATCCATATGATTGATTTGTTTTAATCAAATCTCTTTAAGATCCCATCGACCAATGGCATATGAATCACTCCATCCCATTTTTCCTTCAGTATATTCTTTACATGTCCCATGAGATTCCCATACTTTTCCCAATTCCCAATCCCAACATGTTCCATGATGCTCCCAATATGTTTTGCAATATATTCCTATCTTCCCATAACCTTCCCAACATTTCTGAGATTCCCAACATGTCCCATGAGATTTCCTATCATTTCCCATGCGATTTCCCATCCTTTTTTCCCATTCCCCCAGCTTCTAACAGCCCCAGGCACACCGGCATGAAGGCCACCCAACCGAGCAACAGCTGAGCGGAGCTCAGCGCGGAGCATGGCGACGGCTCGGGCGATTTTTCATTTGTGGAGTTCTGGTGATTGTCACACAATGATGATGTATTAAACAAATACAGCTTGGTGGTTTGGAAAATTTTGTATGGGGTAATGATGGTTAAGGATGGTTAATAATGGTTAATAATCACCGGTTGGTGGTTTGGAACATTTTTTAAATTTGTCTATTTCATATATGGGATTTTCATCTTCCCAACTGACGAACTCCATGATTTTTCAGAGAGGTGGCGAAAAACCACCAACCAGTTGTGATGTGCTCAAAGAGATCTCTGGTGCTTTCGAGTTATGAAAAGAACATGAGGAAAATCGATTTCGTTTTGATCCAAAGATGGCGAAACAAAAGACCACAGATGGGTTCTGGACCCTAAGAATTCCGGGTGAACGTTTAACAAAGTCTAGCCATCCAAGCTGTTGGTTTCAAACATGAATTTTATTTTCCATTTCATATGAATGGATGTCATCCTTCCCATTGACTCATATTTTTCAAGCTGGTTAAGTCACCACCAACCGTATATATATAATATGTTATACTATGTTTTAATTCCATGATATAACCATCATTTAACCACTATTGGTATTATAACCACTATTGTGGTTACTGGATCTTCCAAAAAGATGGTTACTGGTATGAGTTACAACTGAATATGACTAAGCTACGACGTTTTTCAAACATTTTTCTGGTTGGTTAAGAATGGTTAATGATGGTTAATAGTCACTGATTGGTGGTTTGGAACCATGGAATTTTATGACTTTCCATTTCATATATGGGAATTTCATCATCCCAACTGACGAACTCCATCATTTTTCAGAGGGGTGGAGAAAAACCACCAACCAGTTGATATAGAAGTAAGATGAAGGAAGTAACATCTAAGATGTCATATTGTTATATACTGTTACTTACTGACAAGATAGAAAGTTCAAGATGAATCAGATATTGATAAGTCAATGTTCCATCTTGGGGTTTGGATGGGGCTAGTATACATGAGCGATTCTGCAATGGTCTTACTAGAGAGGTCTCGTACTTGGTATAACGATGGAAGCCTCTAGCAGCTCAAACACAATCAGCTCCATGGCTTGAGGATTTCCCCCCAACTCTAGTTTTGGTAGTTTTTTATCCAGTGATTTTCCCAGTAAACATCCAATTTAAAGTGGAGATCTTCTCATCTTTTTCCCACGATTTTTTCATTGGCGGCTGGCTGACTGAGTTCCAGCTTTTTAGGTACTGAACAATCAAACTGCCAAGGTGAGCGACCGTGTTAATGATGACCCCCCAAAAAAATGTAAGTGGTTGGTGGTTTGGAACATTGGTTTAGTATGGGATAAGGATGGTTAATGATGGTTAATCATGGTTAATAATCACTGGTTGGTGGTTTGGAACCATGGAATTTTACGACTTTCCATATACTGGGGGAATTTCATCATCCCAACTGAGCAACTCATATTTTTCAGAGGGGTGCTCAACCACCAACCAGATTGTGATGTTATGACATTTCTGACACAAAATTATGCTACTATTGTTATGGCACATGACTTTTATGACATAGTAGAAAAGTACTACTCCCCATGTGCCACTTTTCGTTGGTCAATTCTTTCGAAATCTATCAGTACCCATGAATCAACCAGTCATCATGGCCCTGCCGCGCGGCTCACCGCTTGGGCCATGCTTCGTGCGACTCGAGCAGCAACTTTCACCGAAAAAAATCTCGCAGAGGCACCGCGTGCCACCGCGGGTTTCGGCTGTTTGCCGGAGAGACATCCTGCTGACGAGCGATGAAAAATGCCGCGGCCCCACGTTTCTGAAACACATCGGGCTATCGAATGCGCGGCTACAGTGACTGGATTTTGGCAAAGAAAACGCAGATGTGGGGTAAAACATGGTAAAACAATGTCATACACCAGCCATTTGGGAATGGTTTACAACACCTATGGTGGGTCCAGTGAACTCTTAGATCCCGTTGGCCAATTTGGCTTTTTTTTCAGCGACCATTTGGTTGGGAATCTCCTTGATATCTTTGGTAAATACCCGGCCTGGTAAACCTACAAAAAACTATGGAAAACCACAATTTTTAATGGGTAAATCAACTATTTCTATGCCCATTTTCCATAGCAATGTTAAATTACCAGAGGGTACCTGACATGTTTTTTTACATCCCAGTTTTTGGGTTGAACATGAACCAAGATTTGGTCCTCTAATTGGGACCACCCCTATTTGGAGATACTTGAATGATGTAAATATACAAATGAACCAAAAACGAGCCTATTAGGCATGACATATTTGGATATATGTTTTTAGCAGTATTTTGCCATAGTTGAATATATTGGCTCTACTAATCCATATATTATGTTATATGTTCGATATATTACATTTGGCCAATGAGCCAAAAACAACCAGAAAATTATGCTCTGATTGGTGGTCACCAGCGGTTGATATCCCCCTGTGAGTCGTACCTCTGTTGGACAATTCTACAAGGTGGTGCCCCCTGTTTACGGATTCGCTGAGGTGGTTTATAACTGCAGTAAGTGTTGGGTTGGGCAGATATGGGCAGATATGATATATAATTAATCAACATTAGTCATGATTATATAGATAATATATTCCTACAATTTATAGTTAGTCACTATATGATTTATAAAGCAACTTATAACTCGGGTAGAACGCAGCTTGTGCGTTTTTTTCGCAAAGGTCTGTTTCTCGAGTTCGTGACGCAGGGTGTCTGCTAATGACTGTTTAAAACCATGGGGGATCCGAGTGATCCCCAACGTCACGCAACGGCGCAAGTTGGAAATGTTTTTTTTAGCTTTGGATACGGCATGATTGGGATAGTAATCATTGATCATAGGACAATCTTAAGCAAAATCCATGGTTTGTGGCAGTTTGTGGTCACTGATTCTAAGGCCACCAAAAACCACACATGATGGCACCACCATGATCTTTGCAATCATTGTCCTAGCACCATTGTCGCCGCCAGACCAGAATGAGAGTAAAGTGACTGGATTCCTACTGTGACATCTGCGCTGCAAATTGTTTGACTCAGCTCTTTTAAGACAAAGCTGCTGATTGGGTGGAAGGACCAGCGGGATTGGTGGCTGTTTTTCTTGTGAGCCATGGTAAGCCGGGTGGTTGCGTTAGCTTGCTCTAGGGTAAGCGTTTGCATGTGGAAAACCCGTGGTTTCCCTAAGAAACTAATCTATCAATATTGGTGTTTCCACATCTTTTCGTCTTTACTTAGGGGTAATAGTTCGTTTGTTTTTGCCACTAGCCACGAGTGCAGGACTTCATGGGACACGTTGGATGTTATGCAGTGCAAGGTGGTGTTCCAGGGAGCGATTCATCGCAAAGATGCTTTACAACTGCGTTATAACTGTTGGGTTTAGCCAATCCATATAAACCACATATATATATATATACTGTTGGGTTTATGGTATATTATATATATATATTAGCTGTGGGGTTTGGTAGATATATGTACATAGTTAATATGGATTACAAAGCAACATCCATATCGCTCGGGGTCACCACTGAATGTCGGTATTTTACTTGTGATGCGACATTTTTTGTGATCATTTGACATAGCTTCCCATCACAGGGAATGGTCATACACTGATAAATTTATCGGTATTTTAGAAGAACAATTATAAGATGTTATAAGAATTATGACCCAGTGAATTACCCTCTGGTAAACTAACATAGCTATTGAAAATGACCATTGAAATAGTGGATTTACCTATTAATAGCATGGTAATGGTGATTTTCCATAGTTATGTAAACGTTTACCAGTGAATTATGTAGGGGTTTGGGGAGACTTTTTAGATCTTCTCGAAGCTTCGTCCAATCCCAAGGCCCTTTTGAAGGGTCCGAAGTATCAAATTTGCTCCACTCGTTTCGTGTGGCGAGTTGATGCGAGTTGCTAAGTCGCGCGGGGTGTGGTTGTCCTTGGAACCAGTCAGAGAATCAGACTATTCACGGCTTTGGGGATTTCTGCACGCAGGATTGTATGATTATATGTTGATAATTAATTATAGCATACTGTACCAGTAGTACCGCACAAGGCGAAGGCGGCGCCGGAAGTTTCGAAAATCGAAAACCTATAGGAGAGGTTGGTTGTTGTGAATCAGGGATGGCAGAGCGAAGCCACTGATGGACCGAAAGGTGCTTGAGGTCTCCTCTCTTTCTCTCTCTTTCTCTGACTATCTACCTACCTACCTACCTATCTATCTATGTATCTATGTATCTATCTATCTATCGATCTCTCCCTCTCTCTCTCCCTCTCTGTCTCTCTCTCTCTCTCTCTCCTCTCTCTCTCTCTCTCTTTCATCTAATTACCTATATATCTATCTATCTATCTATCTATCTATCTATCTATCTATCTATCTATCTCTCTCTCTCCCTCTCTCTCTCTCTCTCTCGCTCTTTCATCTTTCTATCTGTCTAGCTGTCTACCTGTCTATCTGTCTATCTATCTATCTGTCTATCTGTCTACCTGTCTATCTGTGGTGCAGTGTCATTCAGTGTAATGTAATGTAATGTAGTTAATGTAATGTAGTGTAGTGTAGTGGAGTGTAGTGGAATGTAGTGTAGTGTAATGTAGTGTAGTGTAAGTTAGTGTGGTGGAGTGGAGTGTAGTGCAGTGTAGTGGAGTGTAGTGGAGTGTAGTGGAGTGTAGTGGAGTGTAGTGGAGTGTAGTGGAGTGTAGTGGAGTGTAGTCGTAGTTGTTGTTGTAGTGTATTTGAGTGTAGTGTAGTGTCATGTAGTGAAGTGTAGTGGAAGGTAGTGTAGTGTAGTGTAGTGGAGTGTAGTGTAGTGTAGTGGAGTGTAGTTGTAGTTGTAGTGTAGTTGAGTGTGGTGTAGTGGAGTGGAGTGGAGTGTAATAAAGTGTAGTGTGGTGGAATTTAGTGTAGTGGAGTGTAGTGGAGTGTAGATGTGTAGGTTTGTAGTTGCAGTTGTAGTTGTAGTGTTCTGGAGTGTAGTGTAGTGTAGTGTAGTGAAGTGTAGTGGGGGTAGTGTAGCGTAGTGTAATGTAGTG